TATCGAATGGTGAATTATTTGCCAAAAAATCTTCAAGTTCTAATAAAATACTTTCTAGTCTTACAGAAAACTAATTTGTATAATAATAAACTGCCCATTTACCAAGCATTAGTGCTAATAAACCGTTTAAATGAATATTAAGCTTTTTTAAACCATAGCTTGGGTGAAGTAACCAAGATAATATAAAAAGTGGCTGTTCCCATTGATTCCAATGCCTCTCCAAACATAATAGCATATGTGAGCGAAATGGTGAATCAGGTCTTCTTTGAACAGTTTTAACTATCCATGCATATGCATGCATAATATCATATAAGCGTGCTGATTTACATTAGAGTTTATTAAGAGTTGCACAAAACAGAAGAAGAATTTCATCTAACTCTTTTAAATCATTCCAAAATATAGAATTGTTGATAATTTCAGCTATATCAAGTGAAAATTTTTTATCATCTGAATTAGCTAAATTTTCTATATTAGTTACAAGTATCTATAATATATAATTATTATTAAATTATTTTATAATTATATTAATAAAAATAATAAATAAATTTAATAAATAATTAAATACTACCGTTAATGCTCTTTTTGATTTTAAAATACTATGAAAGCTATTATAAAAACTATTCCATCTTGTAATACAAGGTAATGTTAAAGCATAAGCTTTGCCGTTATAAAGATACATTTGCTGATTACGAAGTTGCCCTAAAAAGTAAGTAGATGTATTAAAAAAGCTAATAATTTTTATAGCTTTATTTGAAATTTCTTTATATCTTTCTGAAGACTTAAAAATATCACCCACACATAAATTTGCCTGGTGAGCGAAACAAGGCAAAAATATAATATTTGTATATTGTAATCGTAGTTCTTTTCTAAGATAAAAAACAATTTAGCTATTTTTTAAAAATAGATTTTAATAAATAAAAATATATACATGCCGTGATTTAACATTTTCTCCTGCAGAATCAGAAACAACCCCAATTACATTAATATTTTTTATAGCCAAATCTTCAATATATCGTTCAGTAAATGAACTTATATTAAAAGTGCAACTTCTTTCTGAACTAATATCTTCAGCATTCCATACAATTGCTTTACCTTTAGAGGTAATAAGTACAGTTCCCATGATTTTTTGCTTAACTGAATTTTAATTATAATTTACATATTGATCAAACTTGTAAATTGTTGCACATTAACACTAATACAATTACTTA